ACACACACACACACACACACACACACACACACACACACACACACACAATTATTTCTGATCCCAGTGTCTAAAGGCTCAGAGGACATATTGGAGACCGACTTTTAAACTTTATAACTATTCCCTTTATGATCTTCAGCCTCTTCCCTTCTGCCCCCTGCATTCAATGCCCCAAACGCTCTAGAACTGATCTCGGTGTTCCAATCTCTCATGTCTTTCTTCCAGGTCAGACAATCATAGAGGAGCCACAGCTGTAGACATAATCTGCACCTTCCTCTCTGACTCCATGAGCCCTGGGTTTGTACGAGATCAGCTATTTTGGGAGTTGAGCCATGAGACACACGGTATCACCCGTCTGGGTCCCTATACCCTGGACCAGAACAGTCTCTACATTAATGGTGAGATCCCACATTTAAGCCATGAGCTCTCCCCCACTTAGAGTCTTAGGTTTTACTAAAGTTCTGACCAATTAATCCCTCTTTCTAGAATGATCTTTGTCCCATTTTTCTTTCTTTTGTGTCTGTGTCCTCTCTTTATTGTGATGACCCAAAAACACCATGAGGAAGTGGGTAGAATGCTTGCTTTGAATGAATAGGGTTTTTGGTCCCATCAGCATTCCAGTTTCACTTCTGAGAACTACTTCTCAGTTGTCTGGCTAAGAGCAAGTGTAAAACCTTCACTGAGTCAATGACTAGCTCTACCCACCTTCAGTCCATTGCGTTGGTAGTTGTTTCCTCATTCTTTTCTTGCCTTTCCCTCTGTTTTTAACCCCAAAAACTTCATTCTCCTTTCCGCTTAGTCCTTGATATTCATTCCTAAGTCCCTCACTTTTTCTTTACAGGTTACCATTTTGGAACTGCAACCCCAGCTAATACTAGTGAGTATTTCTGCTGTCATTGTCTAGGTTCTGCCTCCACTTTCAGGGACCCTCAAAATGGTTCTTTTTCCAAAGAGCTGATTCATTCATTGGTTGGAAGTGAAATCTTGTAGCATTGGAAGATTATTGACTATGCTCTGTTAATCTTTAGACCCATAGAGGCTACTGGAGAATCTTACATACATGCACAATACATGTTTCTTAGAAGGACAAAGAGGGTCTTAATAACTTAAGAGCTTTCGAGTGTTCCCTCCTTCAGACACTGTTAGTCTAACAGTATCCCATGCTTAGGTGCTTGCTCACAACTTTGTTCCAGGTTGAGAGCTTCTTTCTTAATCTGCTACTCAGTCAATCATTCTGTGATGGCACCCATCACTCTCAACTTCACCAACCTCCCTCAACACCTCAATGAGAGAAGTCACACCCTCCTCCCCTGTCTTCTTGGGTGAGAAAGACGGAGATTCACATACCATCTCCAACCACACTGACTCTTGCATGTGACCTGTTTTAGTTCTCCTACAGACCTGACTTTGTTGTCCTTAAGAGATAAACTGAGGCACAGTAACATTTTTTTTCTGTTAAAGGCAAGTAATAATTTGTGACGTTACCAAAAAAAATCAACGGTGGTTCAGGTCTTCCAAAGAAAGACAATAGGGAAGCAATTATGGACAAATTCTGAACAAAGCTAGGAAAGTCCTAGGTTATTTGCAACTATGCATTATATAGCTCTTATTTAATTTGTCTTAAACCCCTTGTTGAATAAGTTACTGGGTGACTTCTGGTTGATTGAGATAGTTTCATTTTGTTTTTCTTCTTCACGTTTTTCTCTTTTTATTTCTTCTCTCTCTCTCTCTCTCTCTCTCTCTCTCTCTCTCTCTCTCTCTCT